AATTACTGCAACTGGGACGTGGCAAACACACAGTGTTGGCAAACAGGGCCACTGAAAAAAACAGTGAAAATGGATAAAGAGATGGGCAAAGATTGTAGGATGTAAAGCAAGAAGCTGGAAGAGGAAGGGACGAACATGAAGATGAATTTGAAATAAATGGGTAGGGACAGTGCTTGTTAAGCTAACTAGATTTATTTCTCTGCCCAGAAATTCTTATGTCCTTACAAGACAGCATTGAAGCAAGGTCTTTAATTTTACTTTTCCTGGGTTTATTGCTCAGGCCTTAATGTTATTTAACAGCAGTGAGCATCAACCAGTTTCACTGCGAAGCTGGACTTAATTCAAAATCATTAAATCTGGTGGAAGCTTTTTCCTCTTGACAAAGAGATCCTGAAGAAGCTGGTGCTTCTCTGACAAAACATGGAAGTCATGCCCTCTAGGAGAACTGTCACCACTGAAATACTGATGGACAGAGCAGGGATGGGGAGAGAGCACTCCCCCATCCCTCCTCCCACAGAAAAGAAGACGAGAAAGCGGAGATGCAAACTGGCTATCGTGATAGCTGGCTATCACGATGCTGAGCACTACTCGGACACCCCAGCACAGCACTGTGCAGGGAGGCAACAGAGCCCATCACTCTGGGCTCTTCTTCTAGGCTTATCTTGAAAAGCAGGTACAGGTTTTATGCCTCTCTTTGCCAAAATAATGCAAGCTCTAAACAAGCTAAAGAGCTGGGTAACATGAATAGTGGTGACTGGGATGTTCATGATGCACGTTGTCATAATATAATGGGTTTAATCTCACAGAAAACAGCTAAAACAAGCAACACCCTGATGTGAACCATCTCTAGAAAACTCTTGAGTGCTGCTACAAGATTATGTTTGAGTTATTACCCGTGATGAGTTTATTCCCAAGTCTTTACCAAGTTCTGTAACGTTTGTCTTATCTCTCAGGGCCAGGGAAGAGCGAGATCCCAGTAGCACTGGGCTTGCTGGAAGAGGCTGTGCTGGGAACTGCCCTGCATCCTGCTGGGACACGCAGCAAATGCCAGCCTGGACCATCAGTTTGAAATCCTGTCCCCGGCTACCCAGTTTGAATAGCACATGGGTTTTTAAAGAACTGGCCAAAACACCACAAATCTCTCAATGCAGTTGCACAAACAACTGTCTTCCAGGCTCCCCACTTTGGCACTGCTGAAAATCTCACCTTTCGCACTTTCTGTCCTCTCCCCATGAAATACAAATTGCTTCTCTTTGCCTTGAAGAGCCCACAGCTTGGTTTCTCTCCATCCTCACCTCTAACTCACCCCTAAGCGTATGGGGAGCATTTGGGATAAAGATTCAAGAATACATTCGACAAATTATTATTCCCGTTGTAAACGGATTACAAAAATCCTTTTATTACAAAATATTAAAATGTTCAAATTATTGGTGTGGAAAAATGTTTCCTGGAGGTAAAGTTTTTAAAAATTGAGGTTTTAATCACAAGCATAATCCTTTCTGGCTAACGTTTTCAGTCTTGTGAAACATCTAGATACAAATTGCGCAGAGGCCTGGCTGTGCTATGAACAAAGGAAGATGCTGCCTGTAAATAGCTTAGAGGACATCAGAAGACACTTTTCTCATCAGCAGTCTTTTTTAGCTTAATATAGCTCCTCTTTGCATAAAACATTGACATTTTTGCAATGTTTGGACCCAATGGTGCGAATGCTGATTGTCATCCGAAGATACTAGAGTGTACCTTCAAAAATATGCAAGAACATTTTACAGACAGTAGTTTTACTTGCCTCCAAAATGCTGTATCTTAATATTTCATACTTATATATATTTAAATGTTAGCACCACCAGATAAATGCTAACATGCTTTTATGCTAATGCAATCACTGAAAATCCAGATAATGTTGTGTATTGGCATATACTGTTAGTGAATTATGGATACCTAAATGTACAATCCCACATGCCTAGCAATTATTTTTGTTAGAGCATTTAACTTTTATTTCCAATCAGAGCACTTGAGGATTGTTCAAATGAAGTTTACTTTTGCAAACTGCTGAATGAAAAACATTTTGTTAAAGGTTTAAAAACAGTAAGACTGTGATGAGGTTTTAGAGTTGCAATAAGGGCACCACTCAGAAAACTCTACCAGATGGAACGATGTTTGATTTGGTCACACGCTCAGTGATTAAAACCCAAATGCGTAAAATGAAGGACATATAAAAGAAACAAGATATGAAATCTTGATTTCTTCCATGTCAGGTCACCAACTTACGTGGCAGAGGCTCTCAGATAGAGGCAGATGGATACCAGGAGGACAGTGTCTGAGCAGGCAGCACCCTGGCAGATAGACCCTGGGACCCGTTGCCTTGAGGACCAAACTCTGCTGTGCTAAGGCTGCTTTTCAAGTCCGGTTTAAGCCAAATAAATAGAAGCGATATCAGGAGAGAGAATCCTGAGCTGTCCCTGCTGCACCTTCTCTTCCTCCTCTTTCTCCCCCTGCTGTCTTTGCTGATCCAATGTCTTGGCCAGCCAGCTGACCCATTGGCTCAAGATGCTGATCCACTTGAAAACTCTTTCATCCCAAATTGGTTTTCAGCACAGCCATACCTGTGAGTCAGGTCCCAGGCGGACTGCGTGCAGGCAAAACCTGCGTGATGCAGTCGGTTGCTCCATCTCTTACCTGCTTCACAACCTGATCAGAGTTAAGGACAACACAAATCTGAGAATACCTGGGTATTTTTAAGAGTTGAAAAGTTCTGGATGTGACCCAAGAACATCTGAAACTGCTCGGTGTCCAGTGGTTTTCTTCTGCACAAAACAACTTGCCTACAGACGAAGCCAAACTTCCAGATTCAGCCATGCCAGGAGTTAGTGACCTCCCACGTTGGGCTGAGGAGCTGCTATGATCATGCATCAATTTTCCTCTGGGAAGGTCTGCCTGGCTTGAAACTGCTGGCTTGAGCCACCCTGGCTGAAGAGACCTGGGAGGTGGCCACAGACCCATTTGGTGAGCAGCAGACCATCGCCTCTTGCCCAGGAACGGTTCAGCATCCAGCGCAGGATCTGATACCAGCTCCAGTCTCATGAGTACAGATCAGATTGTGACCCTGCAGCCCAGTGAGCTGTGGCACCTCTGGGCATTTACTGGCAAGTCCTAACACCTAACTGAGGTGCCTAGGAACAACAATGAGTGAAGGAAATAAACATCAACCCCTCAGAAAAACACAAGGTATAAGAAAATGCTTAGTGTGAAGTACTTGAAGTGCCCCCGGCAGTGTAACTGGAGCACGGAGTAAGCTGAGAAAATGTATGAACAAACAAATTAAGCAGATAGCACAAAGCAGACAAGTTGGCATGTAGGTGTCTATTGAGAAAGCTTAAGCACAGCAAGGGGAAAAAAAGCAAACCCAAAACCCAGGCATAATATTCCTCACACTTTGGAACTGAGCTCTCAGACAATACATCATTCAAACCACTCAAAATTACCATCTGTCAGAATGTCCTTTAAAGAAAAAAAAGGTCTAAAAGTTTCCAAAGCGGTATTTTAATATAGCTATATTAGAAAAGAGAACGTTTCTGTCTGACGAAAGGCATTTTCTATCAATTGAGGAATACTATATAAACCCATTAGTTTTGTGGCCATTGCTACACGCTCATATCATGAGACAATGTATTTCTTGAGTCTTGATCATTTCACATTAGCTAAATCAGGAAAGAAGTGATTTAATAGCCCTTGTCATTTCACAAGTTACCTGCAAAATGTTTCCAGAGTCTCTACATGATTTTCTCTTTATGGAACATATCATTAAGAGTCTACATGCTATTAAAGATCCTAAGGAAACAATTACAATATTGCCTCAAACATTATGGTAAGTCAGAATATGAGGAGCGGGTCTGTGTTTCTGATGTGAAAGAGTACATCTTCTTGTGATCAGTAAGCCAAATTCTTTCAAGATATAAAGTGGATCCTTTCCTGGTGTAAATCTGGGTACCTGCTGCTGTACATGAGGTCATATTACTTCACACATGCTGAGAACCAAGTGCATTGTATACAAGACTGCAAAAGAAATGCATATTTCTAGACTATATATTAGACTAAGTGATAAATAATTTATAATGGTGGAGAAGGTGACCGTATTTTTAGGCATAGAAATACGCAGATAAAACAGTCCTGCCTTTCAGCCTCCACTCTGTACTTCTGACCCTGAAGTTTGGTTCCATCCAATACATTTCTAAAGCCTCTGCACCTGTGAATGTGCACACACACCCCACAAAGCCCCCAAACCCATAAAACAAAAAGGGCACCAATAAAACCCATTGAGCCCACACAGTACCACCTGCAGCACTACATGCTACGCCCTAGCACAAGGCTGATTGGGCTCTTTTGGGCAACAACCGCCTTCCAATGAGCTACAAACATCCTTCAGACCAGTGTCTCTCTCTCTCTGCTGACCTCATTCCTAACCCCATGTCTAATCGACACGCCTTTGCTGTCAGAGGCAGATGTCCATGGGGCTAAAAGCCCCCCTCCAAAGACCATGGGAGTTGCTATATTCTTGAAATCAGCATCTTGCGATCCTAAAGAGGCCTTGGAGAAAGGAATAGGAGGGGGAAAGGTGCTCCCTGGACACTCGTAACCACATCATCCTCCAGACCTTCCCCCAAAGAGGGCTGCCATGGGGAGAGGAGAGGAGGCAGAATTATTCCCCTCAGACTATGTTAAAACAAGGACCCCAGGGAAATCAAGAAACAATCATAACTTCCACACCAAATTACTTCTGGCTAAATCTAACGAGCAGGATGAGGACATGCTGAGGAGACCAGGGTAAGTGGTGCTGCAAGGGAAGGGCTAGGCAGGGGAGAAGACAATCTGGTGTGTTGCACAATGAGAGAAGCTTCCAGCTCCTGCTATCAGAAATAAATCAAGAGAGATGAAGAGAAACACAGAGCCCATCTGGCCTCCTGAGGTTATAACCCCTGCAGGATGGGTGGGAGGGCGCTCACCTGGAGAGCGCAGCTCCCAGGACGAAGGCAGCGTGCTCCTTCAGCGCGGCCTCGGTGCTGTTCAGCCCGTCGATCACCAGCTGGAGTCCACCCATGGAGAGGAAGTCCTTAGCATTGTCCACCTGGGAGAGAGCAGGTCCCCATCAGTACAAAACCCTCAGCCAGATTCCACCCAACAGCTCTTTGAGGACGCCTTGCTTCAGAAAGAGCAGCATCTCTTCCTTCCTAGTCTAGCCAGCGCTGAGTTTTAAAAGCAACTAAAAATTAAGAAAGATGAATGTGGCTTGAATTTCATACAATGCTGCCTGCGAGCACTGGATGTCATGGTTGCAGAAGCACAATGTACTGACAGGTGGCTATTATTACATGCAGAAGGCATCACTGAAAACTCAAATACTTTGATTAGCTATCAAAACTATTCTTGACACGTATTTCAGTAATTCAGGTGATGTCAAAAATTCAGTAAATCCAACGATGTCAAAAAAAAACAGTTCTTTGCTCTCTCACCTGAGCAGGCCTTTACTGGGAACCCAGGGAAGTGTATGTTTTGCAAATGCAATTAATTAATTGATGCTTTAACTGTAGCTCCAAGAGTTAGGAATGTTTAAGAGCCTGTCAGCAGCAACAGTACATAGGCAGCATCACCTCTGCTCGCAGACAGGCACACAGGTGGTTCTGGGTGTTTTTCATAACTACCATCAACAATTTCATGCAGACATGAAAAGAAAAAGCCAGTCCCTGCTTGGAAGGGTCAGCCAGGAGCTTCCCCTGAGGGCAGCCTAAGCAATGATTTTTCTAAAGCAGACAATATTGGACTAACTGTGAGTAGGGAAATGCTTAAATATTAGCGGGGATTCATGTGTCTGACTTTAACCAGACTCTGGGTTAACCAGCCACAAATCACAGTAGGCATCTGTTCTCAGAGAGGAAATTAGAAAAGGGCTCTGGGTAGCTCGCAAACAAAATTTGAGAAACAGTGTAAACTGCTTCAATATAAACTTCAGTCCAAAACTGATGCATTTTGGATTTCAAGGAATTTTTTTCAGTTTAAAGGGGAATCAGATGAACCCTCATAATTGTGTGCATCAAAAATTCAGTTTTAGAATTTCAACATATCTCCTCCCTGCAAGACAGGGAGACAACAGCATATGTTGGCAGATGGAAATAGAACCTAGACACAAATTATCAGCTGGGCAAACTGACCTCCCCAGCATCAGCAAGCAGACTGCACCGATGGGTGGGACAGGACAGACACAAGGTGTGCAGGGTCTGTTGGGCTCAGGCACCATGCTCCAGCCTGAACACTCTTAGTCGACAGTGACTTCATGCTTAGTGTTATTTTTATTTCAACCGTGTACCTTCACCAAAATTGGCCATAAGTCAGATATTTTAGGTACCCAAAAGAATGAAGAAGCTATTTAGCTTTATGTCCTATGTGTGCGTCTTTACCAAAGCGGGACCTGGGGAGCTACAGCTCATCTCTTCTCCCCATGGGACAATAACCACCACTTGCTGTCCCTCTGGCAACAGAAATCTGATCTCTGCAGGTCTGCTGGGGCTGATTCAGGATTTGCAGCAGCTTTTGTATCCTTTCAGATCCTATTCTTTTAATTGTGCCTATAAACTGGACCTGCCAGACCTCTTACTCTTCTGCAGGCCCATCTTTGGCTACAAAGAAATCTATGCAGCAACCCAATTTCAGCTACCAGTGGGTGCTTTTATTGCTCAGTTCTCTGTAAAATCTCCAAGGCTGTTTTAACACTGGAACTGGACATTAACTTCTGCTCAAGAGGAAATGCACAGACAGGCAGAAGCTTGAATCCAGCATCAGTCACGGTAAAACCAACCATGGTAACCTCATCAGCACCAGGGTCCTTCAGGCCAGCCCCAGTGTCAGGGAGACACCTTAACTTGTGCTGTAGAGCCTATTTGAAAACCTGTTTGTTTGTTTGTTTGTTTTTTTAACTGGATTCTGTTGTGAGAGCTCACTCCCTCATTCATTGTTTTAAAACCAACAAAACACCCAAACTCAACAACTTGAAGGTATTAACCTCTCTGGGGAGCAGAGGATGCTGTGAGGCAGCAGCTCATGCCTCGCTTCAGTCCACTGAAACTGCCACAGAAGAAAGCCAAAGATCAAAAGAGCTCTTGAGTAAAGTACAGGGGCAAAGTAGGCGAGAAGAGGGATGGGAGAAGAGCAAATATGACAGCAGTTATTCAGGGAGTGGCTTTGAATTGGAGGAGAATGAAAACAGGGAGTGAAAGCGAGAGAGAAAATGTTAGAAAACGAGAGGAAGGAAAAGTAGCATGTCAACTGAACAACATGGAAAGGAAATTAGCAGTGAGAAATGGTGTGGCATGTCAGAGGAGGGGAGAGAGAAAGATAAGGAAAGTAAATAATTGAGAGAAAGAGCCTGCAATGCATGAGAACGGGTCTTGGCTCTACACACTGCTGTGCAAGCACCGTGAATTCTGTTTATAAATGAGTTATGCTCTGGCCTCTTCACATTTGCATTTGGTTTTTATGCGTTACAGATAACCTAGCAAGCCAAACCTTCCTGCTCTTTCTCCAAGATGGGCTCCCAAACATGCCAAGTTGAATCCTGACTGATGAGAAGCAAACCAGAGCTGGCAACAAAAAGCTGAGCAAACGCAAAGCCCTTGGGCTGGTTCTTCAAGAGCAGAGGAAAGCCTCTCTGCCCCTGCTCGGCACCAGCCAAGGCTTCCCCTCCACTCCCTCGCAGCGAGCTCGGAGGCACATGCTGCTTCATGTCCCAGTGCTCCAGGATGCTCATGACCATGCCACGGAGCAGAGAGTATCCTTTGCTTGCAGACCCTAAAGGGCATGGCATTTGCCACTCGACAGGGCATTTTGTGCCCTGGAGGCAGCAGCAGGACAACCATGAGCTGAACAATTATAAAAAGCCATGGCATGTTAGCATTTAGATGGAGGCTGGGGGAAGAGGGAGAAGCAGAGCTGTCACCAGTCCCACAGGTGGGTGCTCACTGCCCTGGGCCACCCACACCTGCAAGGATGCCCATCGTCCAGCAGCACGGCTGGGGCTCGCCGCAGAGGACTCCTGAAGTTCAGCTCTTCCAGGGTTATGCGGCACAAGCGTATTTGGCTGCTATTCAGTAATTACATTAAGCCGGTACTGCTAAAGTCAGTACCAAGCAGAGATAATGCTCTGGACGCATTCAACTGGCTGGAAGAAGAAAGAGGAGGAAAAGCCACGCTGGCTTAGAGACAAGTCATATTTCTTATCAGCTTCCTGCCTGATGAGAAGGTGATGCCCAGCCATCTGCCCTGACAGTGTGGGCACAGAGCAACGTTGTGATCGATGCACAAAGCAGTCCTCTGTGCTCCCTGCCAGCCTCCCTGCCATTTCCCCCTTTCTGACCCCTTTGATGCTGGATGTGGTTCCCTTTGATGCTCCAGTCCCCACACAGGGAGCGGGGACCACTTCCCTGCCCCTCGCCTTTCTGAAATTGCTTGCCCTATCCTGTGCTGCAAGCAGGTGGGACTTTATGCTGGAATAGTCCAGACTGTTATGCTGGGATCCAAATCATCCCAGGGTGATTAGGGGTTGCTTTTTAGCATGCTGGCTTGATGCTCTGGCACCCTTAACCAGACAGAATTAGCCCTGAGTAAACACAAAGCTCTTTGGACACCCATTGTTCACACTTATTCTCTGAGTCAGACAGATGCCGTCAGTGAAACAAAAGCATTGAGAACAAACAGCAAGGAAGCTTCTGCATGTGTATGACAGAGATTTAGTGTGGAAATTCAAGACAAAGAGCCCTGGAAATAACACTTCTATTAGCTGATGCATGGACTCCCTCTCTCAGCAGCACATTCCTTCAGCTACCTCCCCCCAAAATACCACATTTGGTTTTAAGAAGTGCTGTTCCAGTGAAAGGTCTTGCACTGGCATCTCCCAAGAATTGTGCCATTCACCCTCTGAAATGATAAAGTCACTGACAGCAACACTGGAAAATCTCCCAGTCTGCTCCAGACTCTCCCAGTCGCTGGGCAGAAGTCCAGTCCCTTCCCACGAGGCAGAACACAGCCTCGACACCCAGATAACCCCCCAAGCTGCTGCAGCGTGGGAAGGCACCAAGCACAAGGGAAGAGAGCGATGTGCCCGCAGCCTGCAACCAACAGGAGGTAAAGCTCTGCGAGCTGAAAGCAGAGCAAGAGAGATCAGGGGGAGGGGGGGAAAAAGTGAGCATACACCTGAGGAAGCGAGATTCTAGGAAATCTATTCAGCCACACACAGAGCCAATTAGCACAGCTCAGCTGATGCTCAGCAACGTGCCATCCGCCTGGCCCTTCAGTCACTGTTGCCACCAGACCAGCTATGAGAGGGGCTTTACATGCCACTTCTTACTCAGGCCAAGACAAAATACAGGTTTTTGGGTGGCTGTCATCTTCCCTGGTACAAAGATGTTCTCTGCAAACTGATGTAGGGGCATCTACCTGCAATCACAGAGGCTTTCCATGGAAGGAGCGAGAAAATAATTATTTTTTTAGCAGCCACCATTCTACTTACCTGGTAGATAAAACCCTATTTTGTAACATTAGGCATATAAAAGAAGAAAAAGACAGGGCAAGAAAAAAAGCCTGAGAACAGACAACAAATCAGGCAACACTAACCCCTAGGAAACTGCTCGCTACTGGCACGAGCGATTATTTATTCAAACTTGGATATAAAATAAGCCTGCAGTAGCCCTCTGCTGTCTGTTATTGTCCCAGGATTATGATAATTAAGCAATTTGTATTACCTGATACCGATAAGAAAAATAAAACCACATTTATGACACCGTATCCCCTGGATTTTACATGGTAGTTACTAAAGCATTTTGTTACCTGGTGAACATAATATTCAAGATCATAAAGTGCTGCTACTTTTTCATCCAGCGTGGAAGCAGAACTATTGAATTTGCTGATTAATTTAACCATAATTTCATAATCTGTTTCCATCTTCACATTCAGCTTTTCAAACTCCTCCTTCAGCTGCTCTATGGGCCGGAACTTCTTCCTCACCTCTTCCTCATGGGCCTTGAAAGCAGGAGGAAACCAGATATGAAGGCAGGTGATAGAGAGCCAAGAAAAATGTAGAAAGAGACCCCAGCCCCAAATTTACAAGGAGAACCCGGCTGTCTATGCAAATGGATTTACTGCTGTGCATCAGAGATGCAGGGGAAGCATTGGAGGGTCCTTCCGAGAAGCCCAGGAACCCACTTATCTCAAGATACCTGCCCTGGGTACCAGCAAGCGCTTCCCAAGCCTGTACCTGGGGCTTTGTAAGCCACTTTTATGTCCTACATCCTTTCAAAAGAACATCAAGCCCAAAGGCATGCAGGCAGCACTGCTGTTCTCTGTTTGCCTGCAAGTGGATGTTCTCGAGACCTGACTGCAAAAAGCCCTGAGCAACCTCCCTGATCTCACAGCTGATGCTGCTTGGAGCTGGACATGGGACTGGAAACCTCCAGAGCCCTGTCCAGCCTGAACTGCCCAGTGACTCCGTGCCAGTGACATCAAGGAGATCTCCTTGAATGCATACAAAGGTGCTTTCAGCATCCCAATTGCTTAAGAAATTTCAGGATGACTTTATCTCTCAAGGAAACAAATAGACTCGCTGTCAGGGGCAGAAGCTGTCAGAAAGCAAGTCAGGAGAACCAGCTATAAAATGGGGGCAGCTGAAGTGCCATGCCATGGGGCTTGGCTGGGAGGTATCCTGTCCTGCAGCATGGCTGGTCTTCCTCATACAAACAGCACCCCAAGGACTGTGATGAACTGAGAGCTGCAGAAAGGCAGGCGGTGAGAAGGAAAAGGCTTTGCCAGAGATCTGAGAGAGCCCCAGGGCCAGCAGGGACCAATTCTCCCACATCAGCACTGGGACAGGCGGGGACAGAGCCTGCTGCTGCAGGGGACAGGGGAAACAGAGAGGCCAGACTGCCCCAAGAGCAGGAGAAAGCAAGACATCCCCTTTTGAAAGGGATTCTGTCATGAGCACAAATACCAAAATATGTTTTTATACAGGAGTGACCCACAACAAGGGGGTGGGCACACGCCATGCTCCCCCCAGTAAATGCTGCCCCACCCTCCTATGTGTGAATAGAAGCCAAGGGCTCCAGTCGTTGGAGAAAAAAAAAAGAGCAATGGAAGTAAAAGCACTGTCAGTGAAATGGCAGCTGTACAATCAATGCTAATGACTACTGGTCTAATTACTAAAGGTACCATGCAGTAACACAGAACACCATCCCCACCCAACCACACAGAACGGCGTTTGCAAGAGCACAGATGGGAACGCACTTGGTGTAACTCAATTTACTTTGACACACTTACTTCAAGGATTAATTTTCTCCCTGCAGGAGTGATTTTTAAATGGAGTACTTCAGGTCCATTAGATGTATCTGGTTTTAGCCCAGTTGCTGGGACAATAGCTATTCTAACAGGGTTTTTTAAAATATGTCTTATTTTCACATAATAGAGTATCACTAATTTTTACATTTAAATTACACCCATTTCAAGAAGTCCTGCCATCGGTAATGCTGGCTGCTACATAAATAATCTTACAGAAAACGAAATAATGCCCTGGTGCCAGACAGGGGAAAAAAAGACTTTCTGCGACTCCAAGACTTCAGAGCCTTGACTCCTACCTGAGTTTTCCTATGCCTGAGACAACGTCAAGGCAACAGGAGGAGCTAGGGCCTAAGGAAATACTGTGGTACTAAGAAAATTACCGGCTGTGATCCACCTGATGAGTGACATATCACTCATCCCACCAGTGTCATGCCAGTGGCTGGGGACCCACTCCAAACCTGAAGAGGGCTGAAAGCAGCACTTATATTCTATTTTACTTTGGGTTGTGGATTATTTATAATTAAATGGGAAACTTACAGCTTATATAAGGAAACTTCAGCCTATGCTTCACCATGGCTACTCGGTTTTTACTACCCAAGGCATAAGATGGAAAACTTAAACCATGCAGTGGCTTGTCACTATCACTGAACCCAGAACAGAAGTGCCTCAGCTGCACATCATTTTTTGTAATTCCTCATGCTTAGAGGGATGGCAAACAGCAAAGTAACTTCCTTTACAAATACCATCACACTGCAATCCATTTCACTTTGGGGTCTGTGCACATTTTTGTGAACCAAGTGATAATTGAACAAATAAATCTAGACAATGGATAAAATCACATCCAAACAATGGAAAGGAAATCAGCTTGCGAGTGATTGCAAGTTACTCCTCTGCATTATTAATTTGGGTCTAATCACATTGGTATCAGAAAACTTAGGGGAGCAGCATCACACCAGAGAGCTTGCTGACCTGCTTTGGGCTCAAGAAAGATCCCACAGCTTCACTTTAGCCTTGGCACGCCAAGAATGGTAGTAAGAAGTTAGGTGTCTGGATGGCTCATGAGGATGGTTATGTGGACACTGCACATCTGGTTTGCTAGTTGAGATCCCACTCACTTGAGTAAAGAGCAGAAAGCATCAGCATCTGATGGCCGATCTGTCGCTAAACTGCTGATCCCAGCCCAGACCACTACTGCAGCCCCTCTCTCCTGATAGCTCATGGGATAATTATTGCTGAGAAATCCCCTGGACTGTAAGAATTTACTTAAGTACTTACAAGCAATCTGAAACACTTAAAGTTTGAAATTAATAAAACGGACCTGAATAAAAGTTTTCAATTTTTACAGAAAACCCAGGATTAGTACAAAAATGGGTGAGTTTCCAGGGAACTCTATCACTAACAGGCTAGTAAAGGTATTTTAGATCTGTATTCACCAGAAGATTAGTCTGCACTTTATTTTCCCAAGCAATTACTTTAATCATCATATTTCTGAGACCTGCAATGCAGGGTGTTCACATCTGTGTAGTGTGCATTGCTTTGGAAACAAGGAATTCCCCTTACCTTTCTTTCTGCCTTTTCACTCTCCTTCATTTTAGCCAATGCTTTTTTGAGCTCCTGGGACGTGAATGAATTTGAGTCAACATCCACCTTGCCCAGCCTTGCAGAGGAAACAAAACATTTTATGAGTGAACAACTGTATCTGTAATATTTTCTTTGTTATATACTAGCAATGGATAACATCAAAGAGGAAGGGTGCTAAGAGTTCTAGATTTCCATGCATCTCACTTAAAACACACAGAAAAACTGTGCTCAAGGAAAGATTAATCCAAGCACTATATTTTATGGGTGGTTTGCAGACATCTTGCCCTGACAGTCAAAAAAGGCTCCATAACCTGCATGTTGACTCAAAATCTCAAGCCCTAACACAATAAAAAGAGCTGATTCATTTATGTCTCTGAATTTCGTGTAGCAATATATAGAAAAGCAGAAAATGTTTCAGAGGAACACGAAAAAAAGCACCACTGTGCCGCTAAGTCATTGCTAAGAACTTGCAAGCTTTAACGGGGAGATCTACAGCTGAAGTGCTGATGATGGTCATATACAAAGTTAGGGTGAGGGTAGGTCTAAGCAGAAATTACACAGAAATGCTTAAAAGCATGTTGTGTTGCTCTTTACATCAATCTCATTGTTTCCGGGGATTAATCTGGGCCATAAACACTCTTGCACAGAGAAAAGGAAAGCCAACCTTTGAGACATCAGGCACCTAAAGATCTCCATGCTCCTAAAAGGACTAACTGGGGAGCAAGGGAAGCAGTGGTAAATCCCACACACTTTAGGAAGGAAAATTCCCCATTGTAATTAAGCCTGTCTTTGTTAGGAGGTTGCCAAGGGAAAAGTCAGAACCAGTGAAATTTTTTAAACAAATTTTAAGATGTGGTTATAGGGAACTCTGGGTGATCTAAGGAGAAGGTCAGCAGCAACTGATGTCTATGTAGATGAACGCTGCAAGCCTACTGACTGCGCCCAGCTAAAAACAATGTTATCCTGGCTCAGGTCAACACAAACCAACCCCATCACCACTGCTCTGATGGGTCAAGCTCAGAAAGTAGTTTTAGACCGATTGGTGCAGACGTTTCGAAGGAATAAATGTCATTCAAAGAAGCCACATTGCCAATTTAGTTTGAGTGTCATGGCATGAGAAGCCATGAAGGTGTCTCTCCATATGCACTCAGGGCACTTCTAACTGCCAACCTGAAGGGATCACAAAGGACAGGGCTCAGTTTTCAGCACTGCTGAACTGTTGAACCAGCAATTAAGTCTCAGGAAGAGACAGCAATTGAGCTCACCAGGGAACCAGGCCTCTCATAAAAGACATGAAACCCACAGACACCCACCCCTGATGCTTTGCATCACTGTACCTTTTCCTTCTTCTCTCTTCTCTCATGTCACTTTTTCCATTTTCACTATCTGGCAGCTTGGCTTCTCTGTCTCCTGTCTGCAGATTTAATCGTACATGTGACCCTGCAGGAACAGCTTGACCTACAAACAAAGGTCAGATTATTTTAAGGCACGTGCATTATTTCAGCTTTGCGCATGAAGGGTGAGCTGAAGGCACACACTCTTACCAGAGAGAGATATAAAAGCCTTGTCTCGCATGGTGAGCAGAAGCGGGCTATCAGTCACCGACCACTCTCCCCTCCAGCAATGCCCCTTTGACCCAAGTGTCACTTCAACCTTGCGGAGATGTCAGCCTGACCCAACGAATGTGTCCCTGTGCCGCAGGGAAGGAGGGACCCTGAGCCCAGCAGAGCACTGGCTCCCCTCTCCCTCCCGGGCCAGTTCCTAAGACAGCACTAAAACTCCACATATGGAGCAGGTTTGGAGCCTATCTGGTGAAAGGGGAATTGGCTGCTGATTGGGGTAGAGTGCATAAAACACAGCTGCCAAAGTGAAATCAAAGCATACCGCAGAGTACAGCCAGGTACGCTGAGTATTAAGTGTACAGAAGCAAGGCTGTGTTGGTTTGGAAATATTGTATTAAAAGGAATATATGATCACTACTATCCACCCACAAAAATACTGGGAATATATTAAGATTTGGTTTTAAATGCAGAAAAGATGGGAAATTCACACTTTTTTCTTGGTCACAATTCACCAGAAACACATAACGATGGCCAGCTGTCGCACTGGGATGGAGGGATGGCAATATCTGGTTGTTTCTTAATGTTGCTTCATCTTCTAATGCAAGAAATCTGCCTGCTTAGGAGAGTTGGGTTGCAGCTGAATTAATATGAAGATCTTAGCTGCACATGGAAGGACAGAGAGACACACAGCTGCTCATGTTCCAACGTTCTCAATGAGGCTTCCCCCTTCAGACTTTCCTTTATCTGTTTGCTTTTACCTAAAAAGATGCCTAGGATAAAATAACACAGCATACAGGAGACAGGTAGCATCTCCTACCAAAGGGAAGTGAAGACAAGGATAATTATTTTGTACAATAAATACATGTACTCAAAGACAAAATGCTCTAGTCTAGGGAACAACCGGATTGATCCCTCCCTCTTCAAGACCAAAGAGACATTTCACTGATCAAAGGACCTGGTGCTTCCTACATAAGACTGGGATGTTTGTCACAATTCAGACAAAAACATTTCAAAGCCTAAAGCCATCCAGTGGGTATAACTGCATTTAGAAAACCCAGGAAAATCCACTTTGGAGGATTTCCTATTAAAACAGGGTGCATTTCTGACGGCTCCTCTTTCTCTCCACCATATCCTGTCCACTGGGAGCTGCCTTGGCCAGATATGCGACGGGACAGACGTGATTATCTTCCCATCTTAAACTATGCAAGGACAGGCTAGATTTGCCTCCTCCACACTTGGTGTGCTTTGCACCGATAGACCCCAAAGTCCTCGTGCTTCTTTACCTGTGACATGCAGGAGCTTTAATCTGTATGTCTATCTAGAGGAGCACCTTCCCACTTTGAGGAGGTGAGCTCTGCAGGAATTCTCTGCAATAGCTGAGCTGTCCCCTTGCAGGCGATGCAAGCAACACAGCTGGGACGTGCCAGTCAAACAGGAGTTTGCAGGATCTCCACGAAAAGGACAACATTGCATGTCCTCTCCCTGTTTCAGGAGACACTGAGGCAGGGGGTTGCCATCAAGGAAAAAAAAAAAAAAAAAAAGGCATTGTGTGCTCAACATATAGATGCATGAGGACATCTTCCTCCTCCACAGGCATGAACACCACTTGGGGAAGAAAGCGCTTTCCTCACCAGGTCATAGGCACTGGGACAGCCCAGGTTACAACCACTGCACTTGCTGAAGCAACTCCTGAATTGTCAGATGTGGCCAGAAATAAATGTCCCCATTAGAAGAGTACAGTAGATTCTGGCTGTCGTGCTCCCGGTGCATCTGGTCACATTAGTTCATTCAGTTGCCAGGGGAGAGGAATGAGGTTGATGGGCTTTGCTTAAAAGAAACATAAAAAAGAAAAGCACGGGAGCAGCCTCCTGAAGGGCTGAGTGATTCCCGTGTGACCAGCCCTCCCAGTTTCTATTTTCAGCAAGTGGTAAATAAAAGAAAATGTGAACTCCAGCGTGCACGAGCTCACAGACCCAGTGCAACTGAATTAAGGAGGTTGCCATCAGAGAAGACACAAACCTTTCCTGCTTCTGCTTCCTTGTACTTTCCTAACCAAGATTTGACTGAGACCATCCAAACCCCAGAGCAGAAATCTCAGCCTTGATGTATTTAAGCGCCTTTCATTGCTACAGGGATTTCTTCTCACCACTGTGCACAGCAGCAGAGGTTCATGCCACAGCAGGACAAACATACTGCTTTATTAGATAAACCAACAAAGACGTCTCTGTTTTCAGCAAAAAAATGGGTGTAGTCACTTAAAAATATTCAAGGTGTTTGAGACAGTATGAGGTCTTCAGTCTTGTTTAGTTGGGGGTATTTTGAAGTATTATTCATAAAGTGTGTTTGAGGGTGGGTTGACTTGAATAATGTGATTAAAATTGCTGATTTAAATGAGCAAGATGGAAATCCTGAATTTTAATCATGTTTCTATATGTAGCTTCTAGACACTTCCCTTAAAAATAGTTGATTCACTCTGATGCCTATAATTTGATACTATTCAACAACCGGGAGCACGCACCAGAGCAATACATATGTAAGCAATTACACAGCTTCACGTGCTGTTAATACAGATTCATACTCTTAATAGCTTTTTCCCTAGAGGAATTGATTTTTTACTTGTTGTTTGTATTAAGTTGCATTTGGGAAATGAAACTCAATTATAAAATATGAAAACAAGTCTATATTTAAGCAGTTTTCTGGCCTTTTTTCTCTTTGACACCTTAGAAAAATGAAAGATGTCTATCCAAACAGGTATGTATTGCATATGTGTGCTGCTGAATGGTCCAAGTTTCTGAGATCTCCAAATCCTCCAGCTGCTAGATCTCATCCTGTCCTACACCCTCGTTTCTCATAAAGGGAAAGAAGAGTTTCCATTCTAATGAATTTCCCACCTCCAAATGAATTACCCAGTGAGTAGAAATAGCTGCAAAACCCCCTGCATGAATGTGCAGAAAAGGCTATAGCTGTTGGAGGAGGAAGCTGGCAAACTCCTTCCCCCACAACCGGTTTGGATTCTTTACCACTTAAAAAATATCCCATACTTGGAATTTTTTAAACTACAACTAAAATGGTTTGAATATGCATCAACATGTGTTGATGGGTCTAAGAGAAAGCCACAGGGTTTAAGCAGAATACCCAGTGAACTCAGTGGGGATGTGCCACCAGCCTGCCCCTCAATCACTCAGCCCTTCACCTCACAGCCAAAAAGATAGCATCCAACAGGTAAAATACTTTCAGAGGATAAAAAACCCCTTGTCACTGCATGAATGACAAGGTATTTATTGGGAGGAAATGTCAAAGCAAAGAGACAGCATTTATTTTCCAAGCAGGAGATGCTGATCCTGTGGCAATGTGCTGCTAGAACAGCATTGTTCCAGGTCTCCATTTAATCCCTGTATCGGCCACAGAAGCACCAGGACAGGCTTTGCTCTCCCACACGAGCCCAAACTCTGACTTACACTGCTCCCCAGACAAACTGTCCCCGTGCCTGGGCGCTGCCACACACCCGAGCGTCCGCAGCCTAGAAACACCTGGTCTTTCGGAGGTCCTTCCAGTGCATTAGCACTCGTCTTATTTGGATGTGTTCTATCTGTCCTGAAAGTTGCTTAAAGTGACGCCAAGGAACAATTTAATTTATAGCCCTATTCTTTTAATCTTGGTCAGCCAGATTTTTTCAGACATACGTTTATTTCTTCGTATAATATATTAGACGGAGTAACAGCACCAGAGTCAGCTTCAAGGCAGCAACTCCCTCGCAGGGGTTCTGCTGACATTTATAAACTGATGCTATTTCTCTCTTGTGTTTTATGTTATCAGCTATACCTGTCAACTTAAATTATTGCCTTGTACCCAAATCACAGTTATCTGTTATTTTGTTATGTGTATGTTTCTGAAGCTCTATACCTATAGCAAGCTTCACAGAGGTTGAAAACAAGACAAAAAATAAATAAACAAATGGAAACAGAACACACTTCCACCACGCTCACAACTAAGGCAAGAATCAGGCACGTTACATATAGGATAACTAAAAGCAGAGGCTGTGTGTTGAATATGCACCACATAGCAATATCCAAGTAACCCCATCTCTTTTTGTAGATCAACCAAATGACCAGTTGTGCTTCCTCACTAAATGGGAAAGGTCTCATCCTGCCCAGCTCCTTTCCAGTACATTATTCCATTTAGTGCTGGTCACAAGGGTTTTGCATTTCTGCATGAGGAAAAGGCTGAACCCTAACTCACTACACAGCAACAGGCAGGCATTAAGAATAACCGGTAAGTTTTACATTATACATAGATGTGCAAATCTCATACCAAGATCGTGCAATAACTCACTATGCTCCGGACAGCAGCTTCCCCATCACCCACCCACCCCTTGAACCCCCAAGCTGCCACCCATTGGCCTCTCCAGCAAGAGAAGCCCAGGAGGGACATGAGACTCTCCCCCTCCCAAAACACCTTCTGGCACCACTTTGTCCCCCATGGCAGAGAAGTGTTCCCCTGAGAAGGCTCTTGCAAGCAGAAAAATGGGTGATTCAGCTTGCCAAGGCAGATCTCCTGGTTCTTCCCCAAGTAAGTGTCCTCGTTTGTCACAGAAAAAAAAAAAAAAAAAAAAAAAAAAAAAAAAAATGGCAAAGAGGTT